ATAGTAAACTACTCAAGGACTTTTAACATACATTCCATGATTTCATAAAGTAACAGTTGAGAAGTTACATGATTGTATCTATAACAGTGGGGCAGGAAGAATTTTTTTTCACTTTCTTTCTTACTTTTTTAAACTTAAAAGAAATCATACCATTCATGTCAGAGAGAAGTCTCCTGTGCGTGCTGATGGCATTCTCTCCATTCTTTCTTCCAAGTCTGTGAGTCTCATTTCATGTGTCCCATTTACAGGAGTAAAATTAGCATGTTATCCAGTCACCATTTGGCTCATGACTCAATGTCACTATAAAAATCATTTTAGCAGCTTCATAGACCCAACTTCTTCTAGGATACATCCATGTGGAACGCTTCAGTTTGTTTGATAAAGGAGACGTAAGTACTTACTTTCCATAGCCTCTTGAAATCTATCTAAATCTGTAAATACTACCACAGTAAAACTTTCTGGTTTATTCTCTCAAGTAATTTGTGTATATGATATTTTAAAAAGGTAAAGGACATAAGCAAGGAAAAGGCCAATGAATCTCAGTTTAGAAATCCATTAGACAGAGGAAAAATTCTTAGAGCAGCAATATACTGCAGCTGTGTCAAAGAGTGAGAAAGTTAGGCTCTTCTAATAAAGAAATGAAAGAGCAAGCTTTTTTCTTTTTTTTTTTATTTCAGCATATTATGGGGGTACAAATGTTAAGGTTATGGATATTGCCCATGGTCCCCCTCCCCCCTCGAGTCAGAGCTTCAAGTGGTTTTTCACTGAATTTTTAGATGTCAGTTTTGGAGATTTATGCTTTAAAATTTAATCTAAGTTTAAATAGTTCAGTATTTAAATAATAAAATGTCTTTTTTTTCTTTCCTTCTCCCATCAGACTTTGACTATTAGTATAATTGGATCTTTTGTATTAAAAAACTATATTACCTTGTCTGTAACCAAAACTATCATTTTGTCATGTCTAGAAAATTCCAGGTATAGCACTATAAACAACAAACTAGTGAAGAATTAAAGTCAACTTTTGGTAAATTTTCCAGATTTCTTTTTCTGATAAGTTTATTTTTATAAGGTCAGACTATGTGCCAACAGCTACTTTATTAAACTTCTAACTGCTATGTATTTTACTTTTTTGGAATTTTGTTATTTTCTTCATGAATATCTGTTAGACAATTTTTTGGTGACTGTTTTCTAGAATTTCAAAGCAGAACTATGCATTCTCTAAGATACAGGTATATTTTATGTAAAAGGTGTTTCCAGATCTCTTGTAGTTGTAGCATTCAATAGAAGACCTGTGTCTAAATGTTTTATTGGAACATACACACACACACACACACACACACACACACACACACGTACATAGCCACCATGCATGTAAAAATAACTAAATAACTTTTAGTCGGTGAGAATTCACTAAAAGAAGTATAATTATGGAGAGAGAAAAATATAAGGTATGCAGAATCTATATATTTTATTTAAAATGCAATTATATTCCTTCATTCACATATTTAGTGTGTGCTATTTGTCAGCTATTGTTCTTTTATTGGAAAAGCAATCTATTGTCTGGAGAAAGAAAACATAATAAAAAACAAAATGCTACTTGCAATAATAATAATTATAATGGCTACTGTAATTGGATTCCCAGTACTTAGTTTCAATGTTCATTTAAACTGGATGTGCATTAATCTAATAAATATATTTCACAATGCTTAAGGGAAGGGTAACTTTACAGGAATAAGCTATTGTCACCATTGTCTGTATTGTCTTTCATGCAAACCAAATGAAAGTTATACATGAACATTTTAAAAATTAGTGCAACATATATCTTTCATAACTCTGCTTTTTTTCTCTATGTGCTCATTACTTAGGAGTGCACTAAATGCAAATTCACAATAAGCTGTTAGCTCCCCTCATATAAGTAGGATTTTCACCAGGATCATTTAACATTCCCAAATAAATCAGAACACAGTCAACCTTCCTTTAATTCATATCTTCCACAGAAAATGCAACCACCTTTCTCTGTTTTATTCTTGATATTTCAAATTTCCTTAAAACTATTATCAACAAAGTGAATTAGATATAAACCCCCACAAGCACATGTATCATTATGACAGTCTGTGTCAAAAAATGATAATGGCAAAAAGCAAGGATCTCTAGTGCAAAATGCAATGCCTTCTACACAAAACCCACAGAGGTGGGTATAAGTCATGTTTCTACGTATGATTTAGTAGTCACTTAAAATCTCTAAGGCTTATTTTCTTCATTTGAAAAATGAGGATATTTTTCTTACTTCATGGCATTATTACCAAATGAGAAATAATAACAGTTGTGCTTTTATAAAAGCCTATGTTTTGAAAAGCCATAAACAGAGACTAAGTGAAAATGATTATGGAAAGAGCTTATTCCTATACCTCCACTTCCTCTTAAACATGTATAAGGTATATTTGCTAGGTTGATATAGATGTATAATTCTAAACCTTTAAAATAACATAGAAACTGGATACTATGTTGCTTAATGATGGTGCAGATAATGAAAATATCCTTACAACTAATAGCACTAAATTCCTCTAAGGTCAAAAACTTTATCTAAACTCCAACTTACAGACAGGCAGCTTGATAAAGTAGAAAGAGTGGGCTGGAACTTTGCATACTTAAGTTCTAGGCACTTAATTAACTATGTGAAGATAAGCAGATCACTTGAATTATCTAATCCTCAGGTTCTTTACCTGTCAAAAACTTGTAGATTGAAGTAGACACATTTTTAGTATTTGGTAATTTAGTATAATCAGGAAACAGGGAAGTTTTTCTCTGGATATTTACGACAAGTGATTAATACATTTCTCCCTCATTAGTCAGTTCTATTCAACATACTTTTATATAACACTGACCATGTGTGTAAGGGACTCTGCTTGGAATTGTTTGTGATTAAAATATTAACAAAATTCAGTTCTTGTCCTGTCGGAACCTGTAATCTGTCTAGAAGCAGAGGTAACCATAATGCTACTTAGAATTTAAGTGCCCTGTGCAAGCACAGATCAAACCCATGAATTGCTAGCTGATGAGATAGGGAAAAGACGTGAGAAAGAAGATGGTGTTTGGCTGAGTTTTGAGGGCTAAATCCATTTTAACAAGCAAGTTTGTCAGGGAAAAGGCATTCTAACTGGAATAATAGGCTTGAGCAAATGTACCAGCATAGAAGCTCTGGAAAAATATTGTGCATTATTCTACAACATACCAAGTATAAGAACAAGTGGTTGCAATTGAAACAGCAAAAAGGGAATCCTTTCCAGGGCATGAAAAGCTTTAAAAGAAATGCTAAAAATAACTCATAATGTGTTTCATGGGCTGTGAGACCGGCTTTGAAGGCCTCTAAGAAAAGTAAAAAGGTGACTGTGATAGCAGCATTTTGGATAGATTAGGACATGGAGAAATTTAGGGGCTAGAAGAACTCAGCAATAGTCCTCGTAAGAGCTTTTCCTGTTTTATAGGGAATAAATATGAGTTACATTAAACAAAACCCAACATGACCTGGCAAGTGATTAAATATGAATATCGAGGGAGAGAAATAAAACTGTGCTCCAACATGGTATGTCATGTTAATGCAAAGTGGATGATGGCATTAGAGATAGAAGAAACTTTAAGCAATAAATGCCTTAAAAAGAAGGAGGCCAATTCATCCAGAAGAAAAAAAAAAAAGGCATAGTGGTTATACAAAGAAATGGTGTTTAGGAAAGGAAGAATTTTTTTTGTCTTATATCTTCTCGGAAAAGAAAAATGCAGAGTCATCTCCTAAGGCAGGTGGTGTTTGGTGTGTAGACCAAAAAGGGTTTGGAATCCTTCCCACAGAGAAAAACATAAGGAAGAGCCAACTAGAGGTGAACAAAAGAATCTCTGAGCAACTCCAAGTGTATATTAATAATAGAGCCAGAAATTTCTGCTTGAGCCAGTTGGCATGATTTTGTGACTTTTTCTGGTAACGTTCAGCCACTCAGTGGTAAGATCAGAGAAAGTATACTGTGGTGTTTTCCCAGTAGTGAGGTGACACAGTTAGATGCAAGGGATGCCTTGATGCTAAGAAAAAGCTACAGAAAGTGGTAGGCAACTGATTCACGTAGGACTGCCTGTAGGACGACACTTAAAGGAAACTAAAATAAAAGTGGTTAAAAGAATTAAAGATAGGATCAGCGTGAAGAATTCATTCACTGAGTACAAGAGGAAAAAAAAAAAGGAGGGAATTTCCAAATTCAGGATTTTAGAAATAAGATGGTTTTGAGTGATCATTATTTTTTTACACCTTTTGAAATTTTATTTGAAAGATTCAATCAAGAGAGGTCGTTATTCTTCTCAAGCAATGACTTACCAAGAGGACCAGAAGGAGAGGTCCTCCTGGGCTGGAAACAGTATTTAATGACTGACAATGTTTAGAATTGCTGGTATGTGGTGATAACAAAAAACAAACTGGATTTTGGTCAATTTCATTAATATTCTTAACCTCTTCTACAGACAATTTGCTCACTCACTGCTTACCCCCTAGGATGGACCACTTTCATTCAACATCCCCAACCTGATTTCAAGTTCTTTTCTCCAGAGTTGAAGACTGACTAAAATGGTAGTAGAGAAAGAGAATTTTATAATTTAAACCAGGTATCAACAAATGATGGCATGTAGGCCAAATCTAGCCCACTGCCTATTTTTGTAAATAAATTTTATTACATTTTTTTGATGTATTGTTGCATTTATACTATAAGGACAAAATTGAGTAGTTGGAATAGAGATCATATGACTACAAAGCCTAAATATTTACTCTCAGGCCCTGCACAGAAAAGGTTCCATGACCTTTAATCTAAATACTTAGCACAAGAAAAAGCACTACTTGCTTTGTGAGCATGTGAACAAGACAATTGTTTCACATTCATGTGGTAGGCCAGTAGTTTAACAAGTCTGTTAAATGTTTACCATTGACTACTGTTACATTTACCTATTTATTTGTCTCTCTTTTGTAGTCCCTGCTATGTGGATATTTGTTAGCAATGACTGATGTGGAAACTACATATGCAGATTTTATTGCTTCGGGAAGAACCGGTAGAAGAAATGCAATACATGATATCCTGGTTTCCTCTGCAAGTGGCAACAGCAATGAATTAGCCTTGAAATTAGCAGGTCTTGATATCAACAAGACAGGTGAGTCATTTGGCAAACATCTTCCTATGAAGATGGACTGATTTGCAGCATTTCACTAAGTAGGATTAAGGCATGAAAAGCCACCGTTGAAAATAAACAGATAGAGTTATAAACAGTCTAGGGCAAGACAAAAGTCTAGGACCAGGCGTCCTCATTTAACTGGCCCGCCAGGTGTTTTTGCCGCCACTGCCTGTCCTGCTTAGCAGCCAACTCATCCCAGGCCCACAATGCGCACTCTCCAACAGTCTGAGGGACAGTCAACTGGCCTCCTGTTTAAAAAGTTTGAGGACCCTTCGCTAGGTAGGGCTAATCTCTTAGTCACTCTTACTCTCTTTTCAATGACTTCTCTTTACATGATTTCCCATTCGAATGCAGAGTCCTTAATCTGATTTTATTAATGCAATCAATAATACAAATGGTGGGTTTTTTAAATCCTAATCTCTATAAAAGCTCTGAAATTGCTTATGTAGAATATTTAGCAAAGGTGGAGCTCCTACCCTTGACAATATTGGCCACCTCTACCATTTGATAAATATTTAACAAGATTCACAGATGAGTGTAATGGAGCTCAATTCTAAGAACTGTTTCAGAAGAAAAGGGTCTCCAGGATGGAATGGAATTTTTTTTGAGAATGGAAGTAAAATAGTCTGTTATGTAAGTAAGTTTTAGGTAAAAGGTTCCTCTAGTTTTCCCTTTCATCATAGAATAAGTTTATGAAAAATTTGTCTTTTAGCTGGGCCTTGAATTTTTACTTAAGGAGTCCAACTACTAATGAAAAATAAAGTTTACACATTAAAATACTTGACAGCCTTACTTCTGAATGTTAGAACAAGTGCTGTAGCTTTTGTAAATATCAAAGTTGAATATATTTTCCTGAGAAGACTTGGGCAAAAATAACCTTTAAAGGTAAAAAGAATTCATGATTAAGGAACCATCATACTATATATGTAATTTCTGACCTACAACCATTCAATGGCTTCACTATTAGAATTTTTATGGCAAAGCTTTCAGACTATTGGAAAACTGAGTCAGAGTATGTATATACTAATGAAACAGCTCAGCAGTGTTACCTTGAACTAAATACATAAGAACAGCATTGGATTCAATGTCTAAAGATCCATAGGTCACAGATTGGTCTTTTTAAGTTCAGATTAATAATAAAACTTCAACATCACTACTTTGGAATACAGAGACACCTATGTATATTTTAGGTTTTAATGTTTTTGTATTATTACTACCAGTAGTAACTTCCCAAAGCAGTTCTGAGAAAGACTACATAGGGAATCATTCCAATTTGGTAACATGGGATGGGTAAATACACTTTTTCTATAGTATTTGAGAATTTGCTAATTTCTTTCATAAGATTTATAGTTTTGTATTTTTTGCATTAATATTGTATTTTAAATAATCTGAATTAATTTTAGCCACCCTTTATATAGGACATTTTTTATTCTTAGTGTAATTTAATTTTTCTGTTTTCCCTGAAATTGAGAATTGTTAGGTCCAAGGCCTTTCTTATACAAGAAAACATACTAAATTATTATAAATAACTTAGATAGCAAGCTGACATTTTATATGAATCACTATATTAAATAAAATTATTATATATTTTATATTAGTATATGATTAAATAATTTAAAATAATTCAAATATCTTTATACTTTCAAATGTCTTCTCAAAACATTTCTGTGTGTTAATTGCAATTCAGTAAGCCCTTGCAAAATTTTCTGTTTCTCTTGAAATCATAAAGTCCAGAACTCGGTAAAATATAAAGAGCAGTGATTTTATTTTTCTAAGTACAAAGAACTAAAGATAAAAACTGTACAATAATATAAAAGCCTAAAATATAAAAAATGACAAAAGTATAATGGCAAATTAAACATAGCTGAGAATTTGTAATTTCTGAGTGGTTCAGCTTGATTTTAATTTATACTAAACAACATTTCTGCCCCACGTTCACCATGCATCTATTTAGCCATAAGTCTATGTTTGCAGCATAATACGAAGGCCTCAGAAGTGTCCCCAAGACACCTAGAAAGTCCCAAGCCCCATGGGAGTCAAGTTCTTCATCTTGTATTTATGCAGTCACTTTCATCCTTAAATACTCTACTGTCTTACATCTGTCCTAGTTTGACTTCATTCATTTGGTTACCAAGAGCTTCTCCTATTTTTCAAGTTCCTGTTGCATGCTAATCTACACATCTCGGATTCAGGCCATCCACACATCATGGGAGCCAGTTCATTACTTTGATAATGAAAATAGTGTATGAAAATGACACATAATGCTTGGTCTTACACTTCATACCTCTTTAGAACAGAATGTGATTTTTATGTGGAAGGACTACTTTTATTTTCTCTAAAGACTGAATATCATTGGAATATTGAGATGTTTTGTATGTACTTCAGAGTGAAAGATAAACTGTCTTTCAACATTATGATCCAAAGAATGGTCCAACCCGCTTACCTTCCTCCATTTAATTATAATAACCTCTTAGAAAATTTTAATATGATTTATATTATTGCAACACCCCAAAATATTTTGTCCACCAATCCTAATGGGCTACATAGTAACCAAATAACATGTGCAGATCTCAGGATCTTTGACTCAAGGAGTAGCTATAGCTTGTACTCATATAAAGTGACCTATTATGAGGTGAAAGCATTGTTCAGTTTCAGTGTCTGTTATGTCACTGCCTAAGATTGCTACTAAGTGTGCAGTTATGAGGGTAGTTTTGTTGAAATTATACATTTGTTCTGTAAGAGCAGGCCAGAGTCCATTATAACTACTTGCCAAGGGACTAACCAGCTGATATAATGTCCTTTCATCTTCCACTATTGCTTTTATATCTCTGAGAAATCAGCTGGGTTATCCTCAAGTGCTTTAAAAAGGACTTGAGTGAAAAATGCAATTTTAAAATATTTCTTCAAATAAAATATGCATAACAAGGTAAAAACGCTCCAACTTGTGATTTCTTAAGACATTTCTGATTCCTGGAACCTGTGAAAACTGAATATAAGTGGCATGACCTGGCCATGAGATTTCCTAGCTATTTATTGAAAACACAGCTGATAATTAACCATTCTGAAAATTCTAACACTGTTTTGGTTTTGAGCCATGCTGTCCCAAGTTCATGGAATTAGCCAGCCCTTGGAAACTTAAGCAATTTTTTCTTTTCTTCTCTTTTCTTTTCTTTTCTTTTCTTTTCTTTTCTTTTCTTTTCTTTTCTTTTCTTTTCTTTCCTTTCCTTTTCTTTTCTTTCCTTTCCTTTCCTTTCTTTTCTTCCTTTCCTTTCCTTTCCTTTTTTTCTTTTCTTTTCTTTTCGGCAGAGCCTCACTCTGTTGTCCAGCTAGAGTGCCGTGGCATCAGCCTAGCTCACAGCAACCTCAAACTCCTGGGCTCGAGCGATCCTCCTGCCTCAGCCTCCCAAGTAGCTGGGACTACAGGCATGCACCACCATGCCCGGCTAATTTTTTCTATGTATTTTTAGTTGGCCAATTAATTTCTTTCTATTTTTAGTAGAGACGGGATCTCGCTCTTGCTCAGGCTGGTTTCGAACTCCTGACCTTGACCAATCCACCCGCCTCATCCTCCCAGAATGCTAGGATTACAGGCATGAGCCACCTTGAGCAATTTTCTTGATGTTGAACTGACCACCAAGAAAATACTCTTGTCTCTATGAAGATTTCAGGCTCCCTGAGTATTTCTAAAGTTTCCAATATAATATACTGAGGGTTGATAAATATAAGCAATAGTTTTATTTTGCCTTTATCTTTTTTTCCATTTTCTTTCAAAGAAGGTGAAGAAGATGCACAGCGGAGTTCGACAGAACAAAGTGGGGAAGCCCAGGGAGAAGCAGCAAAATCTGAAAGCTAACATCCCACCTTGACCTTCAACAACACCTGATGATGTCTCAAATCTCCAGGCGTGGCTGGAATGCTTTTGTTTCCATGAGTGAAAAGGGGGAAAGGAAAATGGCTGTGCTGCATCGCAGGAACCTGCCCGTTATGTTAAAAATGGGGGCAGAGGCTGTGGCTACAGACAGACTTTTCTCTACCTCTGTCATTAGCAATGGTTGAAATCATGTGGCCTGTGCTTGGATGTCATTTTTGTTTGGATCCTTTCACATGACCATATGATGAAATGCTTGTAGAGAGTAGCACTGACCTAGATGATGATTCTTCCTGTAGCATCTGGCCCTCACAATGTCAGAGGATTTAATTGTGTCTAATTGCGGAGGGTTGGTTGAACCCCAGAGTTTAAATATCTCTGGCTCAAGTATTCACCCAGTAAAAGAACCATCCAGAAAGCACTGTTTTTAGCTTTGTGTACCTGTGTGTTGCTGCTGTGTTATTTACACTGTTTTGTATTGTACAATATAGATGCTCAGCACTGCCCCCCTTCTCGGATTGCTTACGAAAAACAAAAATGATGTACATTACTGTGAATTTTTATACCACTCATTTTTAAAAGGGCTGTCTTGTTTTTAATTTTCCATAGTGTGGTGGTGTACACAAGATAGAACACACTTCTTAAATGTAATCTTTCCCATCGATCACTATATGTTGATGAATGAAGTCTAACAAATTCATCAAGACTTCTTTGCTTTATTATACAGCCATTCGAAAATATCCATTAATGTGAATATTACCTGAATTCGGTCTGTTTGGTGTCTGCACAGACCAGAATTCAATCTGTCAATTTTGTTTTATTCCCAAGTGGACAACTTCTCCCAACTAATATTTTTGTTTTTAATTATGAGAATTTTGGAGAATTAGGAAGGTAAAAAAGAAAAGCCAAGATAATACTAAGAACTAGAAATATCTTGTACTATGGAATCAAATTTCTCACAATGCTATATGCTACTATTTAAATTTGGAGGGCAGCATACCTTCCCAGGAGGTATTTTTCAGGCTGAAAAGATGGAGATAGTGATCACCTTGCAATCATGTGGACACCAATCACAAAAGTAAAGCCCTTGTGTTGTGTTTTTCATGTCTATTTTCAGCCCTATGAGATCTAAATGTTATTATGCATTTTTTAATGTTTGTAAACTTTTACTAATAATTAGTGTGAATTGCATTCTGATACAATAATTATCATCATTAGAAGCTAACAAAATCCTCATTAATATGGTGTTTGATGGCCTCTGCTGTGTTTTGACATCATGGTTCTTATATGGAAAGTTTTTGTGAGTTGTGTAATCCCTCCGGTCAGTATTATGAAATCATTTGTCAGTGGTAATAAATAAGGAACCAGTAATATGCCAGTGGTTCATGAATTACTGGACAAATAGCGGACAACAGGAAGTCTCTACAATAAAGAGCCCACTTAGCTGTCCTTGAGGGCTTTGATAGAGTCCCGGGTGAAATAAGTAGAGCCAGAATTTCAACAGGCAATCTATGTGGTTATACCAGGAACTAAGTAAGCCCTTCTTTGTATTAATAATTCCATATTGGATGAAAGGTAAGTCTGCTCACATCTCCCTTTACAAAACTTTTCAACTGACCGGGATAAGGGCATGGGTCTCATTTAGCCCTCAATGAGATATTACTAGAAGAAAATGTTAACCATGTGAGTCTTTCCGAGAACAGAAAGAGGAAATATTAGATTTTGGAGTGCTTCTTTCTACCTGAGCCATCAGGGGTCAAAAATCTCCAGTTAAAATTCAAACAAATCACCCATTAGTAGATTCACAAGTATAAAAGAGGTCCCTGGGGCTATTTTAGATAAATCCCTGGTAGTCTGTTTTTAAACATCCAACCCCTGTGATCAGTTTTCAGTATCCTCATTTACTATCTTCTTAGCTTTCGTGTGAATCTAAAGCTCTCTTCTTTCCTAAAGTTGTGGAATTCTAAACTGATTTTATGTGATTTTGTAAAGTTTAGAACCAGTGCTGAGTATATGTGGGGGTTTATATTCATATGTGATACACTATTATTAATGCATGTGGTACCATGCTTGTCTTTGAATATGTAAATAGTGCTAAATTACAAAGTCATATGGAGCTTTTGGTTTAGTTTGGCCTCTTACTGCTACCTTGTCTGCTATATTCAAACCGAGAGGCATTCCCAAGCTGGGAATCGCTTGTGGAATATAGGATGTGGACTTCCCAAAATGTCCACATCTTATAAATTTTGCTTTTCAAGAGGTCACAGTTCTTTCAAATTTTACTGTAATAACTTTTATTTGTAAATCAATAATATGAATGAATCTGAATGTTTAAGAAGAGAAGGAAAGGGTAGGAAATCCAAGACTTGGTTTGATAATAGACACTGGATGCCTATTAACCAACTACCCCTGTGCTAATCACCTCATAGCACATATTCTACCATTCAATCCTCAAACAATTCAATTACAGTGGTATCTTTATACCATTTTACAGATTATGAAATCAGCACCCAAAACGGCATAACTTTTCCAAGATTAAAAAGCTAATAAGTAATGAATTTAGGATTTGCACTTATGTTTGTTTGTCTCCAAGAAGCTTTCTACCGTGCATATCATAAAATTAAAGCCAATTGCAGAACTAACTGTAAGGGAACTTCTAGAAATGGATTTGTTCAGCCTCAATATTTTAGAGAAAGAAACTAAATCCCAGAAAAGGAAATTGCCTTTCTCAAGGTTGCCTATATGGGTAATAACATAGATGAAACTAGATCATAAAAAAATGTAGTAGTTTTCTTAAAAAAGAAATTCAATTATAACTTACTGGAGGAGAGGAGTATTTGTCCCAGAAGATATTTTTCTGGCATATGGTCTGTAAACTTAGCATGATTCATATTTTTTTTATGTTTCATGCTACTTATTTTGTTTAATTGCATAGAAACATTAAGATTTCAGTTTCTTGACTCATTTGCAACAAGCGTGAAATTGTCAAGTTTATCTTTTGTCAATTGTAAGCATCCTATGCCATCATTTTGTTATCATAAATTCACAGAAATATTTTTCCAGTAGGTAACAGACATTGCAATCCAATTCTTAGGCGATACTTCCAGAACAGGCCGCTGTAAATGCCCTATACTTGAGTCTCACTCAGACACAGTGGCAACGCGCCATGTTAGGAGATGAACAATATTGCAGTTTCTCTTTGGAGAAACAATAATGGGTGAAGACATGTAACTGCCAGGCAGCAAAGCTTCTGAGTGAACTCTGTAGTAGTAGAGAGAAAATGTATAGTCATCAAGTGAAAATAGGAAAGGATCTATGATTTATGATGTCTTATTAGTCCCTAAATTATGCTTTAATTGCAAGAGTGGCAGTCTCTGAAGTCATTTGTGAGCTTGTATGACTTTTGTATTTAGCAATGTTGCATGCTCACATAATTGGTATTAAAAGTAACACATTTTTCTGAAATGTACACAGTCTATGAAGAGTATTTATTGCACATACACTGTGTAGTTGGTGCTGGAGAAAGTGGTGTGGGTGATACAGCAGAAATCCAAAGCCTCAGCCAACCTTCGGTGGACCCACCCAGCACTCCAGCTTCACTTTGCCCTGGCCTTCACTCCAGTAACGCTCACCTCCACTCTGCTCTACTTTACCTCTCACTGTAGCTACTTTTTTGACGTTTTCATCCATCAAAACCATCCCACAGCCTAGATCTTAAATTTTAGCATCATGCCTATCTCATCTCTTCCCTTGCTCATCTGCAGGGAAGAGATTTTCAATCAGGAGAAAGAAATGTGTATCAGAATCCCCCAAAAGTTTTTATAACACCCACCCTCTACCCACATGCATGTAAATACTTTCACAAACACTCTCTTTCCCTTGAAATAATTCCCTGCAGGGCTTTGTTATCTTTTCCCTTCCCACCCGCACCCCCACCATGTGAGAACCATTGATCTAGAAGTTCAAGGCTTTCTGATGCACCCACCCTGCCCACTCCACTACAAAACTTTCAAATGAGTCAGAGATAAAATGCAGTCTTCACAGACACCAATGATTTTACTGTGTTAAGAATAACATTTTGGGATAAAGGAGCAAAGAGAGCTTGACTTTTAATCTTGGCATTGCTCTCATTTTGTCCTATTATTTTTATTACATCCAAGCAGTGAAGACCATGCGGAGACCAAGGTGGGACTTAGGGGAAAGTAGGCATCAAACTCAGCCTGAGTCCAGGCAAGGTGTTCAGTCAAAGGCAAGAGGGAATGTAAATAAATTTTAAGTTCCTGTTATTCAGTTCACAAGGATAAAACACTACATAAGCACTTGGAATAAACAGAATGTTGGCCAGTGAAACAAGTCATAGAGCCTCTCATGTCTCTTCTTTTATATTGCTTGTATCTGCCTAGTTTGGGTTGTTGGGATTTTGGATCCTTGCCATCTCTCATAGTAAAGTCAAAATTAACAAAACTATCTGACTATAACCCACTAACTGTCTACATCTCCTTTCCAGTTATATCAAGATGGTCGTTTCCTCAGCAACCTCCCTCCTAGTCTGGAATCCATGGTTCATCTTTCTCCACGGTGCTCTCAATTTCTTCCTTTCTTGTCTTTCTGCCATCTCTGCCCAATAAATCAATCAATCAAACCATCTCCCTTCTTTTTACTTGTTTTCTAGATGACTCTAAAAAGTGTATAACAATGCTTACTCATTGTCTGCAGACTCAGTGCAGACATTAAAGGCTGCACAGCTCTCTTTCCGTGTCCCTGGGGACCGAAGAAGCTGCCCACGCCCTGGCTAAGACTTATTTCTTATTCCGATGTTTCTAAATAATTTTCTCCTAACCTTAACAGAAAAGGTCTATTAATTATTCTTTTTTTCCTTTATTAATTTTACTCTTTTCCACAAATGTTCTCAAGTTTTCAAGTTCCTGTTTCCTTCACAACTTATGTTTCTCAAAATAGTAATCTATACTGCCTGTTTTAATGCCTCTCCTTATTTCTTATCCTCTTGCAATTCAACTTCTAGTTAAGTATTTCTCATTATCAATGACATCATTAGTAACTCTTGCACTCTCAGTAATTGTCACTGAATCCCCAGCCAATGTGGAAACTACAAAGGTGGTGATGATTCAGAGGACTCAAGATTCACCTAAAATCAAATTTAATCTTTTTATATTATATGTTTTTATATTGTCAATTGGTATTAATTGGTATATTATTGATTGCAGACAGAGTAGAGCTGCATACTAAAGTCTTCAGGACTGAATCCACATGTCCCAAGAGAAAGCCAAGTTTCTCTCTAGGATAGCACTTCCATAATGTATGTATATGGCATTCTTTTATGGCCACAATCTCCCCATCACGTTTGCTTGCTACATCCTCACGTCTTACAGTTCTCATTTCTTTTTAGTGGTAATTGTCACATATCTTGGCACTAACCCAAAGCCTGGATATTCAGAGATGGGCAAGACTATCATGTGTTGTTGTAGAGTTCTTTGTTCCATTGTATTCTGGGATGAGAGTATCACTAGTTCCTCTTAACAGTGGCCATGTACAAGCAAAACCCTAGTCCCACTGTGCTTCTCTGTCTTAGTCCTAAACAAATATATCTACCCCACTTGCCACATTTTATAGATAGTTGATGTGTTTTATTAGCTTACCTGATAGTATTTAATGTGGTACACCATTAAATATTTTTTGAAATGTTTCATTCGTCTTCCTTTTTTTTAGATGTTTTTGTTTAGTTATTTTATTTATTACTCTTTTCTCCCTGACAACTAACACCTCATTTTCCTTGACTAGTTTCTCTTTCTCTGCATCTCCACTAAATACTGTGGTTCCCCAGGATTCCATTCTTATTCTTCTTCTCTGATCTCTCTCCAGGTGGCCTCTTCCACTCCCACACAGTAAACCATATTTATCATGGTGAATCTTATATCTTTATCTCTACCCCAGAAGTCATTTCTTATTACCTATTGTATGGTCGAAGAAGGATTTCCCAAAAACATCTTAAAATTCAACATTGCAACACTAAATCCAGTGTATGATCTTATTCCCAAACCTGTTTTTCTTCACGTGCTACAAGTCTCATACGATGGTAGCACCAGTTTTCCAGCAACCTTAAATCAACATCCTAATAGTTATTTTAACTCTTTTCTGTTCTTCTAGTTTTTTTTTTATTTTTTAGTCCATCAATTCTAATTCTTCACTACTTGTTGAAACTATCCACTTTTTTTGTCTGCACTCCAACCCTTTAAATCATCACTGATCCAATGTAATGCATTGGCCTGCTCACTTGGACCTGCCTCATCCAGCATTCTTCCTAACCATCTTGCAATCAGATGTATTTTTCTAATATATAAATCTGATCATTTCACTCCCTGATTTAAAAAATGCTTGACTTTAGCCAGACAAAACTTTTCTGTACAAGTATCACATTTTATTTTTGTATAACTCCTTGCTCTGTGTTAGCTTTTTTTCCTGTTCCTAAAATGTTCTTCTTTATGCTTTTTGGAAAATTCTCATTAATCCTTTCAGACTGTGCCCCATTGCATCCTTTTATTTAGAGCCTTTCTGATTTACATCCCATTCCAAGTCCTACTCTAGGAAATTAGCTGTTCCATGCTCTTTGTTCCCTAATACTTTATCTGCAAATGCATCTCACTATATCTGTAGCTATTTGTTTACATGCATATTTTTCCAATTAGAGTGTAAGTTCTTTGAGGGCATTGGCCCTCTTTTATTCATCTTTGTATCCTCATTGTTAATTAGACATTATTTATTAGACATTATAAACATAAATCTTTATAAAGAATGATGTCTGCCCTCCTGAAGTTCACAATATAGTTAAGAGACAGAATTTAAACATAGATCAATTAGGGAAAACTGCAATTCAGATAAAAAGTTGATGGTTGAAACTGCACCACATTGTAGAAGATAAAAACTTGATTTGCATCACCTTTTTTTCTAGTTTATACAAGAGTAACGATTTTTAAGCTTCAAACTGCATGCTGCACATACACACACAGAGACATTTGATATGATTTACAGAGATGAGATGTCCAATAAAACAGTAAAGAAATAAATGAGCAAATTAGGGAAAACCATCCAGCTAAATAATAACCCTGGTGAAGGCAACATGTAGCACAAATTCTCTTTAGTTTGCTGGAATTAAGATTAGGCAAAAGAAGGAGGTTGTATCTTACTATCTTGGTCTTAGCAACACATCAGTCAAAGGAGGAAGATCTCCAGGAAGGCTTTTGCAGGCCTTAAACAGGTTTCACTGGAGTTTCTAAGAATATTCTTTATAGACATATACTCTAATAGCCTAAAAGGAATGGGAGTTCTGATAAGATAGGATAAACCTCAATGGAAGGAATTCATAGGAAAAAAAGAAAAAATAATAGAAAGGGACTAAGAAGCACATTTCTTTATACCCAGGAAAGAAAGCACACTGACATATATGTATAGAATCTTTTCCTGAATATAGAAGTCTTTTTCCTGAATATTTTATCTTTTAGAAAACACTGGTAATCAAATTAACATTGGAAATCTAACAGAACTAAAGAAGTATTGTGAACTTTTTGACTCTGAAACTGAAAAATAAGACTGACCAAGATAACTGCTGTAGGTAACCCCTAACATCTTAAAATTCACCATTCAACATGTTTGCTCTGTGGCTGCCATGATTCATTTTACACATCACTTGAGTAGGAAGGTGTGACTATTATGACTCTTCTGTTGAATTTCTAAGTTTTCTTTTATCCTACATGCTCTTTGGAATTCATGGAACAATATATAACCATGAGTTTTAAGGGCAAAAAGTTAGGTAAAAATAGCTGTAGCTAAGGAGTGACTTTAACAGATTCTGCCTTCTCAGATGGTCCTAAATAAAATCCAGTGAATCATCAAATTTGTTTAAGAAATAAAATTGAGTATTTCCTAAGTTTAAATCTCTTTATTAAGTGCAATAAAAAAAGGAAGTTTTAAAAGACCACAAAATCCAGTATAACAAGAGAAACTTAAATATATGACAGGGACAATAGTTTTTTGATTAATATTCCCAGCTTTGCCCCATTACCACTCCATCCCTCCTTTTAAGACATTTTTCTTCAGTTCCACTCTAATGAGAATTTACTTTTTGCTCGGCTGATTCCAAGGCGTTTTGTAACACAGAATTGAGAGACTAGATACACAGGTTAGAGTGATGAGGAAAAGGAAGATTTTTAAATAAAGAATCAATGCCAAAGTGTTCTTTCTTGGGCATAAATCAGGTAATGATTCAAACAGACCAAAAAAAAAAAATTTTAAGCTAACATGTTTAAGTCAACTTGCATAATTAAGAGCTAAGAATTAGAGGGAGGATTAAAAAAAAGCAGTGAAATGAGATTCTTAAAAAAAGTTTGACAAGTAAGTAGCTTAAATGAAAAAGAATGAAACAGAATTGCAATGGAGACAAAATAATCTTTTTAT